TCCTGAATTGTGGATAAAATGGTTTATCTCATACTCAGAATTGAGTGAAGAATTACTTTCTTGAGTGAGAGGGAATTCCACAGCTGTCTGCATACAAACAGGAGGCAATGCACTATTGGTGTGGGCATCCTAAAAAATTTCCATGAGCAAATAAACCCAAAAGTTCAATTTTTAGAGTCGTACATGTTGGAATTAAACACGGAAATAGCAGATGAAAAGGAACCCTTGTAGAATCTTCATCCATACTCCATCATGCAGATTTCAGGAAATAACATATTTAAAAGCTATAATTTACAGTTTATTTGGTAGTACATCACACATAGCTAGGAAAAAGGACACAGTAGAAAACAACACCCCAAATCTATTCTAGTAGACAGTTTTGTAGTCGAAAAACCTTGTTAAGGCTTTTGTCATATATCTAACCCTTAGGGTTTGTAAAGGGCACCCAGTATTGGGAAAGCCTAATTTTTCTTTGCTCTCACACTTGTATCCCTTATAATTATCAATAAAATAGTTGACTTTCTCAAAAAGAAAAACCTTGTTATGGCTTACGGCTCTCAGCACCAAGGACTTTCTAAATGTCTAGCAGAACATATTCACAGCATATACTACTCAACAGACATAAATTGAGAGAACTAAGAAAATAAACAAAGAACCATGAAAAAGGCAAAAGGTACAAATAAAAGGGGAGTATCATCTTTTAGAAAACATGGATTCAGGTCAGCACTCACCAGGTCCTGATACTGAGTCACATTTGTCAGACTCAGCTGATTCCGTAAGAGACTGGGCTGAGTCCAACAAAAAAACTAATAAAATAATGGGAAACAACTAAACTGGTGAGCGAGTGCAAAACGCTCGTCATAAGTGCGGGCAACATTGCAACACTTTGCACATGAATGGTGCACAATGAGTGATTTGTGTTGTGCACAGAAAGCATAAATAAACCAGATGCACATGACGGAAATCGACAACTTTATTGCTATAAAAAGTAAATACAAAGGGGGACCCAGATTCCACAGCACTCGGCCCTCTTGGACCACGGCACTCCAGTGGTTACCATGTGTATGGTTCCGAGCTCTGTAGGGTGCCGAGCCTGAATAACTTGGACTCCCCCAAGTTCTTCTCCAACATTGATTTTTAATGACAATTTATTTTATTTTTTTTAATCAAGCTGCTCTCAAAAATGAAAAATGAGCATATTAAAACTTGACATTATTGTGTATCATAAGACTCTTCTATTATATATAGGTACTAATTAAAAAGAGAAAAGAAAGAAAAAAGATTTTGTCCCTATATCATCATTTGTATACCTTTGCAGCTTTAGCTGAAGTTTGATCTCTAACAAAAGGATGGTCTAGGAGTCGGGTTGCAGTTGGACGTGCTGATGGATCTCTCTGCAAGCATAATCTCAAAAAGTGTTTGCCATCTTCAGAGAGATGATAGGGAATTTCTGGGATATCTTTGCTATTTGCAATTTTAAATATGACTGCCATCTGTTATTTCCAAAAAACATAGTATAGTTAAAACAAAGTATCAGAAGCTTCAAAGTGTTAAATAAAATAAAAGAGTATTATAGTCCCATAGTCATCACTGTCAAGTAAAATGATGGGAATAGACATACAGAGAGAGAGAGAGAGAGAGAGAGAGAGAGAGAGAGAGAGAGAGAGAGAGAGGAACCCAACAGAACAGGACATAGACACTAATGGTGGCTATGAATCTCTCCGTCAGTATCATTTCATTGGATGAGATGGCCCAATGGGGTATGATGTTATATGGTCCTTAATACCCCTGGTAATCTTACAACAATTTAATCAAAGAGTTTGAAAGTAGTATAGTATATATTCAAACATGATATAGCAGGAGAAAGCCTTCCTACCCCCTCATATTGGCTCCAAGGTGGTTTTGATGTTGCCATTTCAATTATTGTGCACCCCAGACTCCATATATCCACTGCCAAGTTGTAACCATTACCATGCATGGTAACCTGGAATGAAGAAAATCACACATCATAAGGATACAAACAGTTCTTACGTTCTGTGGAAAGAAGAAACTAGTGTGCAAACTTAGTGCATAAATGATAGCTTGAGATGAAAAGCAGAAAAGAAAAAGAAACGTGGCCTCTACCTCAGGAGCCATCCAGTAAGGGCTTCCCTTGAAAGACAGCAGAGAGGAGGTTGCACTGACCTGGATTCAAAGAAGGACATTCATGAATTACATAAAGTATATATAGAATTTGAGTTCCGTATCAACAAAATGCACAATATGACACTTCTGTAGCATTTATTACTAGCAAATAGATAAAAATCAACCATTAGCATTTTTTATAAGGCTTTATATTAGAAGGACATTCTGTTTCATTATGAAACCAGTTCAAAGTGACATATCTTCCACTAGAAATTGAAGGAAGCAACTTAAATTTCTAACAACACATATAAAATGTGAACTGCTAAAAAAAGGAACTATGATTTGCCCTGCTAAATTGATTCTTCAATTGAAACAGAGATGTTTGTCTCAAAAAATAATAGCCAAAAGATAGGCAGAACAAGAGCGTAATATTTGGGGACCAAGAGTATTTCTAGGTCATATGTTCCATATGACACGCACAGACAATACAGATTCTTCCATAAATTGATAACATTAAATATGTACAAATGCTGCAATATGCATAACCTGACTTCGTTTGAATAAGAACTTTGTATATGATCCATCAAAGGTAGCGTATACAATTAGTCAAAGTGGGGAGAACCTGAACCTTAGTGTTCTTTTTCTTACTAGGAAGACAAGACTTCCTCATTTCTTTCCTGGGTAACTAATCCTGAAACTTCAGTTCAAAACCTAAAGGTACGGAACTTGAAACGAAAAGTACTATACCAATAAGGACACATAGCTGAATTCCAGTAAGAGCTACTCGTGATAACGAGCAGGATGGAAATGTCGGAATATGGCAAATGCGGCCCACAAAGCAGCTTTTTGACAGAAATTTGGCAAATTTGCCACAAAGCAGCTTTTTGACAGAAGTTTGGCCATGTCTATTAAGGCAGTTGGTTCTCTTCAGATTGTAGTGGTGGATGTTTTCTTCATATTGCATATTTGCAGTTCACAGTCCTTACTTTGTACAGCTTAGTCCATAATAAAAAGTTCGGAAATTTATCAAAATACCCATGAATTTCACCTATATAGTTTGATTCAATTTCAAAATACCCATTAAGGGACACATGATTATGAATTGGAGTAGTTGCATATGTGTAAAATGATAAATAATGCATCTCTCATGGGTAATTTGATCAATTTCCCTAAAAGGTTTTCCTTTCCAAGAAAAAGAGAAAAGCAAAATATGCATAATATATTCAATACATCAAGTATTAACTTCATTTATTACCATAGCATGGATCTGGAAAATAAAATAAAAATTCCATAACTAAGAACCAGTTGAGAACAATCGATTATGATGAAATAACACTTTAAATGAAAGAATGGTCTTCTCAAACATAAAAGAAGAAAACTTGTAACTCAATTGAGGCCTATATAATATTCCCCAGAAATATCAAGTATTCTAAATTATTAAAGGCATAACAAATATGAAATTGCGGTCCAATATACAGTAGGAATTCTCGAGTTTGTTAAAGTCAGCACATGAAGAAGCGAGAGAAAGAAGAGGATAAAGTGCAAAACATTCTCAATGATGTAGAGTCCTTTAATGGGGATATATATTTGAAGTATTTGCAAGGTCCCATACTAATAAAAGATGACAAATCTGAGGTAAACAGAAGAAAAATACGGAAAATTATAAAAAGTTACTACACATGTACTGAAGAATATAAAAGCGAAGGGGAAGATATGTGAAAGACCACACAAGCTAATTATAACCAAAATGAAAGATGATAGAAAACGTGCACCAAAATTCGGAGCTTGCTAATAAACAAGTCTCACTGAATATGAGATGATGAATCTTATTTAATCTGATATCAAAATGCATCTTAAAGAATGAAAGAATAAAAAGGGGAGAAATTGAAAATGTTAGCAACTGTTGGTGTCCTATGAGATGAAAAATGAAAGATGAGAGGATCGGTAGAAAAGGTTTAAGCACTTTAGCAGAGTTCAGGAAATGTACATGCTTAGCCATGCCAAAGTCGGCCAGTTTGACATCACCATTAGGATCAACAAGTATATTTGCGCCTTTGATATCCCTATAGAATACAAACAATTTCACAATCAGCTAACTCTGCAGCAGTATATATATATATATATAGTGGGGTACCGGGGGGAGAGAGAGAGATTGGAAGTGATGCCTTAAGCAAATGTCACAGTGCAACTTAGATTAGAAAGTAGACCTGTGTAAAGTATTCCTTTTATGTAGATACGCAAGCCCTGAAAGAATTTGTCCAGTATAACTCCGAATTACGGGCTCCTTAAATGGACCATATTCTTGAAGTAATTTATATATAGAACCTCCAGAAACATATTCCAGAAAGATACATAGTGCATCTTCAGCCTGTACAAAGTGGCAAGAGCAACACCAGAATCAATTCTAAAACATGAAAAAATCCATGTGAACATATATAGGTTGATCATTATCCTATTAGTGGAGCACAAGCTATTAGAATCAAGATGATTATGTATGCAACTTATGAACAAACACATTTTCATTGAGACAGGTAAACATTACCATGAATATCGACGAAAACAATTTCAGTTCATCCACAAAACAATTTTTAGAATTGAATATTTTAATGTAACAGTGAAATTGAGTGCTTATGCATAGATATATTTTTATATCACACTTACCCATCAAAGTCTCATGGCATTTTAACAGTAGATTATATATAGTGCATAAAAGTGTCTGAGGAGGAACTACTGCGATGTTCATAACATGTTTACTCAAGCCAGTATAGCTTAGGGGAACCCTCTGATTTTTCAATTGTTGGAGATTGTTTTATTGGACTGCATTTTAAAACAAAAAAAAATTTCTGTCTAATTCAAAAAAGGAACAATGATCTTAGTCCAGATACAGACATTGATTATCCTTGAGAAGACATTGAATTGGATGAAGGCTTTTCAGCAACCATTCGCATCATCCCTAAGCAATCCCCTTAAAAACATTTCGCTGCCCTCATCATAAATAAGAACCTATCTATGAAAAAATACTGATATTTCACTATCATATCAAAAGTCAAATCTCCAAGAATTGTGGAGTCAAGATCAAAATTCTAACTATTTCAAAAAAGCCCCTTGTAGGATAAGCAACAATCTTCTCCATTTCTGTTAGTATAATTATGGAAATAATAATAATAATTTATTAAATGCAACTTGGGGAATCCCAAATATTCTTGCCATATCATAGTTCATTGGAAGGTGACATTGGGTCATCACCTTCCAATGAGGTAACGGGCAATGATGGGAAGAATGGAAGCTGCCCTTGAGATCATGTCCTGTGCACGGCAACCACTCAATGGATATTAATGACCCAATATTGCAACAGTACATTAATTTATGGTATATTTGCCCACAATTATATCACTTCACATAGACATAGCATGGTAGCAAGGAGCAAATAATGGAGATATGAGCATCAAACTAAAGAAACCAGGAATTAAGTTACCATATTTTAAAATGTACCCGATGGATCGAGGAGCATCGCACATACCATTTCGCTGCCATAGTATCGTACAATATTTGGGTGAGAAAGCTGGCTAAGCACAGATATTTCCTGGAAAAAAAGTAAGACATCACAAACTTTGCCTTCTTCACTGATAGCTTATCAAAATGCAAAATCATCCAAGATAAAGGAGCATGTATAGTTTCACAGTATAAGAAGTAAGAAGAAACCTGGCCCAACTGCCTTAGGCTTTCTTTGGAATTCCGATCATCAGAAATTACTGTGACTTCTTTTATTGCACACATTTGTCCACTTTCACTATACAATTAAAAAACACACCAAACAAATACCTTACAGAGAATTCACAAATAAAAAAAGCATAAATTCATAAGCAGTTATGGCATAGGTCTTACGCAACTTTTTGGTTAGACAGAAGACAACAAGGAAATTGCTCCAAAGAGCCCAAAGATTTAGGACTAATCAATGGATCTAAAAAGTCTCTTTGGCTTGAAGTGGGTGAGAAGCATATATTCTATTTGAAAATCCTTGACATAATGTCAAATATAGAGCTTCACCCACATCAAGATCCCAGTAACCCATTTTCATGCAGAAGAAACATTGATGTTCATGATCAAATAGCCTAAGTTTCAAATAAAGAAAGGAAAACATTCAATAATCCAATGGACTATCGAAAGCCTCAGTCTATTTGGGTCATTTCTGCCCCATGAAACAATGGATGGTGATGGAGAGAGAACACAACCCCCGTTTGTGATCATGTCCTGTGAAGTTGGGTGGGTCACACTCTCTTTCCATCACTGTGAATCTTTTTGTCACACTAAGATGAGCTCAATCAACTATATTTTCCATAAATCATCTGATATATCATACTCCCCCCAGAAGAAAAACCAAAAACAAAGCAAACCTATTATCCATGTTTGATTCTTCGCACAAGATAACCAAAATTACCTGTTAAACCCAACATAAACATGGCCAAAGGTCCCTCTTCCTAACAACCTTCCCTTCTTCCATCTTGAACCAATGCAATGCAAATTCTCAATAGCCCCAATGGCTCTGGGAGATGAAGTAACTGGAGAACTAGGTACACCCCGTGGAGAAGAGGAATTCGGAGAACCAGGAGGGAGAGGTAATGGGTGACACAAACCTCTACCTTCTTCTTGTTTTCCATTTGAGGATTCAAGACTTGAACCACTTGCACGTGAATGTATAGGAGATGTAGGGCCTCGACATCTCGATATCGGTCGACCCGGGCTTCTCGCTCTAGGACTTAGATGCAATGGATAAGCAGTGGATTGCCGAGTTTGCCTACCCCCCGAGCCAGCAAACTTTATCTCACTAGAAGTTCCGTGGGCTCCAGTGTGAGAAAGGTCAGGATTGTGTATATGAAATTCACCTCTTGGTGAAACCGAAAGGGCACCACAACTTGACATGAACTGGGAGCCATTTGTTGAATGTGGGTGGCCTTCTTGAGGCCTAATGCAATCAGGAACATTGGCAGAATATGGGTGGCAGTTTGATGTAGAGGGTCTCGAGGATTTACCAATTTGAATGTTCAAGGTCGGGGTTTCCCCATACCTTTTGTTCCAGCACAAGGAATTGTGGAGTCAGTCTATATAATACAAAATTCCAAGGTTGATAACATTGTGAGGTCAACACAAACTTATTTTGTTTTTTTACTAGGATAAAAAATTTCATTAGGCAAGAATTATTCAAGGATACTAAATATCACAGCTGATTGACCATAAATTTCCATACATCATCCTAGCTCTAACTAGCCAGAAACTTTTCATGACCAATGTTGAAAATCCACTCTATTCAAAGCAAACATGAACCTTTACAAATCCTGAAATACGCATGCATATGAAAGATGCAGCAAAGTAAGCCTTCACAAAGAGAATGTGACATGGATAGGAGGGAGCAATAATAGTATCATAACTTTCTTGGGGGAAAAAAATTCCAAAGTGCATCTAGGGATTTTTCCTAAAAACATTTTCATGCATCAGAGGCTGAAATGAAACATTGCATGACTAAATTACAATAAATAAATAAATAAATTTGATGATTTTGCCCTTGAGAAGTGTAATACTCAGGTGACTCTCTCATCCTTACCAAGAAAAACACCAAAATTGATTTCATTAGGTAGCAAAAAGAAGGGGAAAAATCAAATTTCATTCAAATAACATTTAAGGTCAGGAAAATTTTCAGAAGCACTGAGCTTGGCAAGCAAAACTGTAAAAGTAATGAATAAATCCATCATGCTTCTATCAATTTCATGTATAAAAAACAAAGAAATAATGAAAAAGATGACAGTTTTATATATTACCATAATCAAAGTACTGGAGCATAACACGGAAGTTCGAATGACAGTTTTATATATTCTCATAATCAAAATACAGGGGCATAACACGGAAGTTCGAATATTTCTTGTCGAAACCAAGTTGGCAGAGAGAGAGAGAGATAGATAGAGAGAGAGAGAGAGAGAGAAAGACCTTAGTGGAAATTAGCAAATTTCAATTGAACTGTCCAATTTAGAGAGAGAGAAAGTCCTTAGAGAAAATCAGCAAAACTAAACTCAACAACACAAAAAGAGAGTTTTCACCTGAAATTGGAGAACCCCCACTCAGTTGCATCCTCCGAGGAGCTCGAACAGCTATCGCTAGACGTCGTCGAGAGAGAGGACACCGAAGGACGTGGCAGAGGGTGCCCGAGCTTCGATCCCTCTGGTAAGAGCAATTCAGCCCCCCCAACAACACTCACATCTCTCCCTTTTCTCTGCAACTCTGAATAATCTCCATGAACCCCATCATCAAGAACCCCACGACTACTTCCTTGATCACCATTCCTCTTGCTCCTCTCTCTGTTATCAATTGTCCTCTGGCTGTTGTTTGAAGAAGAACTCTTCCCTTTTTTGGGTGAGGATCTATTCCACCAAGCAGGCATGTCAGTTCAGATTGGCTCAACCCCAAGAAGCTATGGCTGCCATCATTGAATCTGAGCCTTAAAGGGGTTTTATCTCTCTCTCATGTTTGATGAGAGAGAAACTAGTGGAGAGAGAAGATTTCCTTTGTGTTTACGATAAGAGAGACAAGGAGAGGGGGGTCAAAATGTACTTTTCCTTTGCCCCGATCAGAGAGAATGAACGAGATTTGTGAGGAAAGAGAATGTTCTTTCTGTGTGATGAGAAAGAATGAGATTTAAAAAGGATAAGTTTTTATAAGGCCTCAGCTTTATGAAAACAAAAAAAAGCCCCACCTCTTCCGAAAATCAGTTTTTCATTATGGCTCTAAAACATATTTCCAACCATGACAATAAATTTGAAACTCAACAAATGGTACAGATTTACGGAGTGTCAACACTTATTGTTAAGGTCAAATGGACATAGTTTATAACAATAGGACCCGGTTTCTATGTGGTCAATCTTATATTATAAAAATATGGGCTTGGTAGTAAATATATTTTTAAATATAATTTGATCTCACTTTTTAAATAATATATGGTCTTTAAAATGAAAACCATGAATATAAAATAATAAAAAATTAAAAATAATACTTACCTTAAAAAATATTTGAACTGTTATATTTGTTTTTAGATAAACCACGTATTTACATTCATATTTAAGAGGGATGTTTTATACCTCTAGATCACATAGTAAAGAAATATAGTCCAACCCACGTAAAATAATTTACTATAAAAATGTTTATTATTTTTAGAGCTTAAAATTCTAATTTTTTTTACAAGCATAATATTAAGGTCGGGATGACCGATGAAAAGAAAGTTTCCAATGGCTTGATTACAAACTTTCTGAATTATAAATGAGATTTTATTTATTTTTATAAGGCTGCAGCCGTATCAAACCATTTTTCTTCAAAAGAAAATGGTTGCACGAGTGTCTCTCTATGTATGCCCCTTTTCGCTCTCTTAACCTTGTGCACAGTGGGTTACATCTCAGAGAAAGGATAAGGGGAAAATAACCTTGGGCTCTCTATGAATGACAATTGGGTTCAAACAATAATGTAGATCGAATCGATCTTTAAGTAATATATTTTTTAAATAGAAAATAGTTATAAATAATAAAATAATTTAAATACTAGATGGTATAATATAAGATATATTGTTTTTAGAATTTGAAATGAGTTTGTGAATCAATACCAAAAATGATAATAGTAAATTAAATTAAAAGTAAAATTAGAAAAAAAGTAAAAATAAAATAAATGAGAACTAAACCCTCCAGGCAATCCAAATTAGCTAATTACCTGACAGGCTCACTCAGTTTGTTGATGGAACCGGGCAAGTTTATGGAACTGGTTTTGTTTTCTCTATGTATCACTGACCCAATTAGAAACCGGGTCATGCGACGATGCCCGGTCCGATAAATTTTGAAATACTCCTCTATGTATCATGGAGTTGGCTTGCGTGTTGCTGTTTTGTTAGTATCCTCCGATTGAACCTTTGATTCTTGTCGTCCATATCCAATCTGTACGGCCATCTCTCTCTCTCTCTAAAATAAGAATGTGTGTGCATGCATTTGCATCTCTTATGAGAATTGGTGGCATGCATCGTATCTTCGTTCGTGACTTAGTAAGTGGCCGTTTATGGTTTCGTGCGTCGTCTCTCTCTCCTTTATGTCACGGTCAAGTTCCCACTCCACTACGCATCATTATTTTGAGCTTAACAATTTGCTCTCTGCAATTTTGTACCATCACATGTTCTCTTTTTTTTTTTTTCTTGTGTGATTTGGATCGTTTTTACGGGTGTTCGGACTGCGCCCTTTGCCGATTTATTGGTTACTTGGACTTGGCCCTTAATCGGTTTTTGAATCTGGTTTGATTTTTCGAACTTTTTTTTTTTTGTTTTGGGCTTTTTGCTTATATTTATTCTCTCGTTTTTTTATGTATATGATTTCACTATTTTTCCCTTCTCTTGAAACCAATAATGGATGTATAAGTTTTTTCATTGTTCCAAAGAAAAAAGATAAACAGGTTTTCCTTCTATGATTATCAAACAATCATTGCTCATGGCTGTATTTGAACAGGTGGGGTTCCAAAAATCTCCTATCCTAGTTCTATACCTTTCCCTTTGTTCTTCTCCCTCATCTACTTCCTCCTTTTATCCTTCTCTTGTTTTTCTTTTTTTTTTTGTAGTTACCTACGTAATTGTATTGTCTTTCATTTTCTTTCTCCCAATGAAATTCTTACCTAAAGTTAAAAAAAAATAAAAAATAACGTCACCTCATGAATTTTTACTTAGAATTAAAAAAAATGACATCATGAAAAAAAATTAATAGTGTTAAATTTTAATTGATAGTCCATCTAACTATACCCTAACCTAATTGTACAGGACCTAAATACGCAGGCACTCAAGAAATAGGTGGTCATGGTGGTGAACACTACAAGACATTCTTATCCGGACCGATTCCGGATTAACCGGCCGATGGCCGACTTCCATTCATCTTTTCTAACACTGGTTAGGTTATTACTTTCCAGAAAAGACATGGTCACATCCACCTTTAGCTATGTTAAACTAAGTAGCTAAAAGCATGCCATAAAGTTCAAGACATAAATTATTAGACTTTCACAGTTATTAGCATGCGTCCAGCTAATGGCTATAAGTTCGTAACTTTCTTATTCTAAAAGTAATTGACCTCTGGTAAAGTTAACATTTTAATATTGAACAAAGACTATTTAATTTTTTAGACACAGTTAAATCCCACTAGTTAGCAAGTAAAAATTTAATTTTTGTTAAAAATACTCATTCCCTATTTTTAAAAAGGAATTTAGAATAGGAAAAATGGTTTGATAGGACTGCAGTCCTATCAAAATAAGTAAATCATCACCTTATAATTCATCAAAAATTGCAAGTTAAGTAGTGGAAAACCTTTACATCAGATCATCTCAACTTGAACATTATGGTTGTAAAAATAGAATCAGTATTCACATATATGCAAGATCTATTTTATTTTTTGAATTTCAAATTTTGGTGTTGAAAATTGATTTTAAAGCTATCCTAAATATTTAAGTTGCTAAAAATACTTTCTAAACAAGGATTTGAGATGAAACTTTACTATGTTTTCATAAAGCTCACCCTTTAGAATATTACATCGAAAAACCTCCAAAGTAGGTCATTCACCCGAGGGAGTATATTTACAGTATTCACCCGCGAGTGTACCTACCCTATAATTTATCAAATATGGCGCCACTCTTTTGAGAAACTTTATGGTCATTTCGAAAAAGGATTAGAGGGTATATGTTAGGGTTTTCAAGAAAAAAAGGGGGCCGGCAGATGGTTGTTGGATTGCGGAGGGAATGACGTGGCAGGGGTGGGTAGAATCTTCCTTCAGTATCGCGATCGTAAAGGACGAGAAAGAGTGGTTTTTAGAGAGAGAAAGAGAGTGGTTTTTAGAGAGAGAAAGCGTGTGGGTTGGATGGAGAGAGTAGTGTCGGTTCTCTCTCAACCTTTACACCGACCTGATGCCTCCTCCGCCACGCCACATTCCTCCCATTTTCACGCACTCTCTCTCTAAAAGTACTCTCTCTCTCTCTCACTGTTATATTCTCAATCGACCAAAAAAAGAAGTTTATCTTCTCTCTCTAACTTTTTTTTTCCTTCCCTCTCTCTCTCTCTAAAAAGTTAAGTTTGGAGCACGGGGATTTCCACGGCTATCACGAGGGTCACCGGAAAACGCCAGCTCCACACATTGTCACGGGGACTATTGGAGCACGGGAGTTTTTTATCGATAAAATTGTGAGGGAAAAAATTAGGGAAAATATCATTAATAGCCTCACACAATTATACAAATTTATTGATGAAAAAATTTATATAAGGTTGCATATTTATACTAGTGTGGTAAACCGCACATCGAAAATCTATGGAAGAGAATGTTCCAACATTGGAAAACCCTCTGATCGATCATCATGATCTTGAGAAGGTCGAGATGTATAGCTATACAAAAAAAAGAAAAAAAAAAAATTCAAGTCCTTAAGATAGTTTATCATGTAACAAGTTATCTGGACTATTTATTTATAAAAATTTTAAATGTTTATAGATCTGTTTGATCTGTGCTATTTTTAAAATTTTAAATTTCATAATTAGGGATAAAAATAGATTTTCAAACCATCATAACAATTCCGACACTAGAACTATATCTCCAAGTAAATTTGTGAGGTGCACCTTAATTCTACAATACCAGAAAAACACCTTATACAAGCCTCACCCATTTATTGAAGGGCTTGTAAAATCATATTTTTCAGATCTAGGGTATTTTCATCATTTGTTGATTTTGTATCTCCAGCCTTAAACAACTAGGGGTACTATAATTAGATTTGAGTTATTTAAACAGGTAAAATTACCAAAATACACCTTATTGTTCCGGTTCCTAACCTCAAATATAAATATTTTGAGTTTTTTTACCTAAATGTTTGTCAAATTTAAGAATTATAAACTAAATTTATTAAAGAGGTAGCTTCATGAAATGGAACTTAAAGTAAGCCCCTGCAATTATTATTTTGTAAACTAAATTGAATCCTTTAATAATATTTTTCTTTTCGGATTGTATGCCATGAGACCATTTGTTTTTAATATAGGGAAATCACAATCATTTTTAACTACTGGATGTGTCACAACATTCGAGAAATTTTATTTTGGACTTTGCATCCAATCAATAAAATATCCCCAACCATCAAATTTCACATCTAATGGTCAATAATGAATATGACCTCCTTGTATAAAAATAAATGATCTTATCATATACATTTGTTTTTAAAAAACCTTCAAAATTCTCTTCAAATGGACTTCTAAATAATATTAAAAGGTGAGGTTTGTATAAGGTGTGAACCTTATACTAGTGAAGTAAGGTGCACTTTAAAACTATGTCGAAAATGCAGCTTCAATGCTGTAAAGCCTTGCGATGACATGAAAATATATTGTTACCCCCAATTATGAAAGTTAAGGTTCCAACAATGGCGACGATCAAGTAGATCAATAAACACTTGAAAAATCTTGAAAATGGTCAGTCCAGATAATATGCTAGAAGATGAACTATTTTTAAGACTAGAAATCTCATTTTTTTCATATCCATGAATCTTGAGGTTATGATGATCGATTTGAGGGTTTTCCGTAAAAAAAAACCTTATCTAGTGGGTTTTTTAAGTATACTTTACTTGTACAGAATAA